ACGAGGCAATTAACGCATCTACAAAAGGGAGAGATCTTAATATTTGTGCTGTGTACTCTTTTTCCCTTTTGTCCGGTTTTTGTCCCACTGGGTTTTTTCAGCTTAAGGTTTTTAATGAGGCAGTATCATTCAATGGACATTCATAATATAATGAATACAATGAATATTCAAGGGGGAGTGTTATGAAATACATGAATAAATATTCATTATATTCAATGTACCTATTATGGTACATTTGTAACCTACATACATGAATGTATATTCAATGTATGTATATTCAATGTACCTATTATGGTACATTTGTAACCTACATTCTATGTACAATCTCCAATGAATGTTCATTTCCCTATTCAATGTATGTATTCAACACATTGACATTAATGATATGTGCATTCTTGTTTTCTTATAAATAGGAGTTTAGTTTTGGTCATTGTGTAAGAAAAGAGAACATAATGAAAAGAGAAAATATATATATCTTTGGTGTTTATCTGCATTCTCTACTTAATCTCTATTCTCTCTATTATATACTTGCAACGCAATATTTTACAACACTAAACCTATTGCACTTTTATTAATTCAATTTTAAACCTTTCAATTTTGCCAATTGAATCATAAACATTTTGCCAATTTACCAATTAAGTTCATTTAGCCAATTTTGGCCGGAATTCGTTGATGTGGACGTCGATCGTCCTACATGGCACGGCCGGTATTGACGTAGATAATTTTTAATAATAGTTTAATATTTTTTCGATTTTTTTTTCCTTTCTTTCTTTTGCCAGTGACCAGCCACAGGCGAGCCCTAGCTAGGCAAGTGCTAACCCAAACGAGATCTTGCTAGGCTACCCTAGCTTGGGCCAGGGTCGGCTCTGCTAGGTCTAGCCTAGGCGAGGTCAGCCTCGTCGATGGCAGGCGACAGCAACCCTTGCCCAACCAAGGCTAGCCCACTCGGCCATTGCTTGTGGCTGGTGGCCAGCAAAAGGAGAAGAAGAAAGAAAAAGAAAGAAAAAAATAAAAACATCAGAAAAAATAATCAAAAATATTAAAATATTATTAAAAATTATCCATGACAGCGCCAATCATGTCACGTAAAATGGTTGACGTCCACATCTAATTCTAGCCAAAACTAGCCGAATTGACTCAATTGGCAAAATTGAAAAGTTTAGGACTGAATTGACAAAAGTATAATAGTCCAGAGTACCTAGAAAATAATTAAGTTTGACTTAGGCTTGATCGAGAGTTGGGCAAGGTTGACTGATGAAATAAAAAGCCCAAAGCACATCTAAAACCTGAAAAATAGCTTGTACTCATTAAAACAAGTCTTTTGACGGTCATATTGCCTCTAAAATCCGACGGTCAATTTTTTAGCTCTCAGAATTGGTCACCCATCTTTTGCAGTGTCGAGAAGTTTGTGACTTCCTGATTTTGTTGCACATTCCGAAACTAGGGATCACAAGGTCCCAACACAACAAAAACCGCATCGAGCAAATGTTGAATGAGGAAGTAATCGCTGGTTAAACTTAGGTCAAATCATTATATAAGAGAAAAAGGTCACAGAGCCCAAAACCATACTCAGGGATCTTGGAATCAAACGAAAACTTCCAAACCTTTGAGTTACGATCGATGATTACTTATGAAAATGATAAGCCACCGAAATGACGCTCGGTTCATAGGCCTGAGTCTTAAGCCCCGTAATAGGTCGAAGTCTTCGGCCTATGATTTCGCAAATACCCCTAATAATGTTGGGCTTGTTGGAAAGCTTTTCACACGAACATTCCAATGGCGCCATGAGGAGACACGAGCTCGAGGCGCGTACACCTCCTCTTAAGATGGCCGAAAAAACGCCCATATAAAGCCCTACATTTGTTTCATTTTTAGGGGCGGTGAGTCAATTTCTTACCCTTTTGCTCGTGAAATCTTTCAAATTGAGTTCATTTCGCTTGTTTTGTATCCGAGTAAGATACCGAACTCCCGCGCTTTCGAGGTAAGTCCTGCTCCCTTGTTTTCAAATTTATTTAGAAATGCAAGCTAAGACATCACAATGCTCGTTTAAAATCATGAGATCTAAAACACGTTGTTACGATGTCCGTTTGAATAGTCGAAAAACTCGTGTATTTAGGCCATTATAATGGCAAAATGAAAACTCAAAAACTAGGATATGTCCTATGTCGTGATGCTGCCAGTATGAATAGGCAAAACGCATGTCTTAGACCGTCGTAGTGCCGAAATAAGATCTCAAGTGAAAGGCTTTGTGGTTGTGCTGCTGAAGTGTCGTTAGTAATTATGCATGTTAGTAGGCCGTCATAATGACTGTTTAGATCTGGAATTAAGCTTTTATGATGATGGCTATGATGCGAATGTGATGGAATGCATGCCGCTATTTTTGTTGATATGTAAACTGTTCAATATATAGAAGGGACATAAGGTGACTGATATATTGAAGTGCTACATCAAAACACCCTGTTACCAGAAAGACAACCCATAGGTTATGCACCGAAAGGATTGAGTTCGAGTGTTTAATAGGTTATAGCAATGCGGCTGGAAGTCAAAAGTGAATAGCCATCGCAATTTGAACCCTTGAACTGAGGCCCCGTACATGCATTCTTCATGTCATGGTCTTGATTAGGAAAAATCATTTTGAAATCAAAATATGATTTTGTTTTTACACATTGTATCTGATTTGCTATGTCATGCTACATGTGATATAATGACTCTTGCAACACCAATCGTCGCATATGTCATGCTTATCACTAACTTCATAGTAGCCGTGACTACTGCAGCCATCGCGACCACAGTAGGCCCCAATTATCCCGTCAATCCTCGTATGAATTGTATTCCTTTCGGGTAGGTTGGACATTGGTTGCTCCGCATTGCCGAAGTACATTTACGGGACAGTTGGCCATCGGCTCAATTCCCGATCGGTGCCACTTCGTCGATCGGAACTGGCTTTGTCTTCAAGCCAAGATCTGGAAACCGAGAAGTCATTGGCATTTGGCCTTCCAACCAAACAGTGGTCACCTTCGGTTGTCGTTCTATGGCTTGTTGAGATGACCTACGACGGTCATGATAGAGCCCACACCTTCCAATCTTGGTTGGCGAGATGGTTATCCCCAGGGCTGTTGTTACTAGATGTCACGATCTCCGGTCGATACCGACCCAATGGAAACGAGGCTATAAACACAAGTTACCACTTGCAAGCACACAAAGCGCAGCACACACGAGGCTTACAGAGTTTGTCATTAGTCAATAGGTAAGCTCAATTATATGAAAGATAAAGCATACATCCATACGCGTGATAAACCAGAAAAGTTGGAAACTAAGTCTAATAATCTTTAAAAACAAAATGATATCACTTACTAGAATCCAGGGAAAATTATCAAAAAAATGCTAAACCTATTGCACTAGTGACAATTCAGTCCTAAACCTTACAATTTGACTAATTCAGTCCTAAACCTTTGATAATTTGCCATTTCAGTCCTAAACCTTTCAATTGTGCCAATTTAGTCCTAAATATTTTGATAATTTACCAATTTAGTCATTCTAGCCAATTTTGGCCGAAAATCACTGACGTGACGATTTAGTCAGTGCCGGCCGTCCTACATAATATGGTCGACGCTAATGTGGATAATATTTTAAAATTTAAGATTTTCTGAATTTTTTAGCAATTTCTTTTTTTTCTTCTTTTATTTTTTTTTCGATTTTTTTTGTAACCTTGGGCTGGCGAGGTTGCTAGCCATAGGCAAGGGCCAATGACTATGCGAGGGCGTCATAGCCCTTGACTATGGCCAGCAACTACAAAAAAATAATGAAAATTTAAAAAAAAACAACTTTAAAAATTATCCACGTCAACGCTAGCCATGTCATGTAAGACAACCAATGCTGACTAGATCATCACATCAGCGATTTTCGGCCAAAATTGGCCAAAAGGACTAAATTGACAAATCGTCAAAAATTTTAGGACTAAATTGGTTAATTGAAAGGTTCATGGGCAAATTGTCAAAAGGTTTATAATTAAATTGGCCAAATTGAAAAGTTTAGAACTGAATTGACGTAAGTACAACAGGTTTAGGAATTTTTTGATAATTTTCCCCTAGAATCCGAGTGATATCAACTAAAATATCCTTAATAAGTCTAAAACATAAAACAGAAACAATAAGTTCAGAAACTCCATAATAAATAATTAACATATATAAATATCAAATTTTGATATCCTAAATCCATCATGTAACGAACGAATATCAAATCTTAACGTGCCCCTCATCATGTGTCATGCTAGTTTAAGGTTGCACATCACTTATCTTCCAACACCAATAGCTCATATTGGGGCAATGTGGGCTCAGAGACACATCTAAAATCCAACACCCCCGCAAGGTGGTATGTGACGTATCTTCCAACACCAAATGCCCATATCTAGGCAATATGTAGGATCAGAGACGCATCTAAAAGCCATCATCCCCGCCTTGCCTCCGATAACCATTAAAAGTAGCCCCATTCCGATGTTGCCCGATATTGTTAGCTCTGGTCGCAAGTCATCCACACATGCACCGTTTTGAAATGCATCACGTTAACTTAAGTTTGCGCGAGACTATCTACCAGTGGAGAAGTTCCTATCTAGTCGGTGTGGGATCGGAGACGTATACGAAATCCAATACAAACCCAAACAGAGTTTTTTTTTAATTTTTTTGTTTGGTCCAAACCAAACAATTGAAAACCCCCCCACAAAGAAAATTTTGTAATCGAGAATGGCATGGGTTTAGTTTTTTAGAGCAAAAGATCGAAAGCTTTCTTCTTCGTTTTGCATTTATAGATCCTACAACAAGGGGTAAAAGTTACTGGCTGATGAGAGACGTTCTTGGAGTCAATCATATTGTGAATGAATTTCTATGCATAGTTATGGGAAAAGAGGAAAAACTAGAGTGAGCTTTTTCACTGCGTTCTGTCAGCAAGATCTAGCCTTATTATGCTTGGGAAAACTCGAGATGAACCGTAATGGAGAGGTTACATAGCTGGAAATTTCCCGTCGGATCATTAACATAAACCCATAGTAGCAGATCACATGAAGCAGCCAAAGATCATGTACATCGTACTAACAGAGATAGTACACGTGTGTATATGTACACAAAATCCTCCATACGTCTATGGATACTGTTTGTGTTGAGGACTCTGAAACTTGCGGAGGATGTCTGGTTCTCTACTCCTCTTAGGAAGAACAGCAACCTCATTTACCAGGTAAGAAAGGACAGAGAAAAAGAACATATAATATTTTCAGATACCGAAGAACGAAATTTCATCTGGAACTCCAAATTTCCATCGGAGAGTCAGAAACTAAATTAGCAGATGGTATAGAACTCTTGGCAGGAAATATTTCCTCAAAGAGAGCACTGTAACACCTGGAGAAAAAAGCACCAAACTGGATTTCCAAAGTTATGCTCCTTTCCAATGAATCTGGTCCACATTTTCCTTTCGCTACTTTTTCATTCTTCAGCATATTCAAGTGCTTCTCATCATGGCCAACCTCCAAGAATCACAGAGAGAGAGAGAGAGAGAGAGAGGAATTAGTTTCTTTTTTATTTTTGCTCTAAAGCAATGGAAGCCTTATCTACATGGCACTCCTTACCTCATCAAATGGACATATAATCAATCATCAATTATTATTTCCATTCCTTCTAGCTTTCTTGATCTCATCGCGACGAATTGGCCAAAACAGTGATTCCACTTCCTCGGAGAAATCGAGTTCAATCACTTCTCTGCAGCGATCATCGGATGACATTGACGACGACGACGACAATTTCCGCTTTCTCGTTGGCTTCGGCTTCATCGGCGCAGGCGGGCATTGGGTCATTGCAGGGATTTTGTGGTCCAAGGACGTCGGAGTCCTGAATCCATCATTGTTCTCCCCATCTTCTTCGACAAGCTCCGGTTCTTCTCGGAACGACGTTGTTCCACACTCCTCCTCCTCCTCCTCCTCCTCTTCTTCTTCTTTGCTTGTTCCGATGGTTTTCTTCGGCCTCAGATGATCAGTCTCGATGCCAACGTGGTCCAAAGGGGAAATTTGGGCGATCTCGTAGTCGTACTCCAACTGGGGATTCTTCAACTTGTCACTTCGGATCGTTTCTTGCTCATCTTCGGCGACGAGCTGCTCAGAACCATTGGACATTGGAGTGATGATTAGAGGGGAAATGTTTCGCATGAAGTTGGAGCAGTGCATGAAGAACGAATCAAGAAGATGTAGCTGGTGACGATGAGCAGGAGGGATGAGAGAAGCAATGGAGAGATCTCCAACGTGGTGAATGAATCACGTACACGATCACGAAATCAGCATCTGAAACTGTTTGTTTAGTTAGAGAATTTTGTCAGTCTTTTGACACTTTCTCCAGAGAGAGAGAGAGAGAGAAAGGCGTTGTTGGCGAAGGATCCGATGCACTCATATGAACTCCTTTGCCTATTTCTCTCTCGGTTAAAACTGTCTATTTCCGCAGATTATTTCCTAGGCTCACTTCATAAGTGAAATAATGTAATCAACAGTCGTTTGAAAAGCCAAAAATACAAAACATATGGTTGAAAAAAAATGACTAATATTCGAAGAACTTAATAAAATAAATTATAATATACAACCGAACAATGTTCATGAGATTCATGAGATTATCTGCATGAGCACTAAGAAGTAGCTAGGGAACAATGGTACATCTGAATTTTTTGCACTCAGCTTTTTCTTTTCTGGTGAGTGCTAACTTTGATGCATCAATGCACGTGGTCCCTGCTTTGTGAGGACCACCTGTTTGTTTCTATCCAAAATGTCCATCTAAGTTTTCGTCTCGCGATAATATTAAATCTATTCTCTATGTTTGTTTCACGAAAAAAATAAGTGATTTAGAAAATATTTTTAAAAAAATAATCGTTGTAGCACTTAAAAAAATGAATAAATGAAAAATATATATGATCCACGAAATGTTTACGATATTGAAAATATTCTTATTGACTAATTATCTCAAACGATATAGGTGATCAATTTTAAGAAAACAATTTCCAAGAAATGCATTTTTCGTGAAATAAACGGAGCCTAATAATGTCAATTAGCAAGAATTGACTTTAAATAAAGAGAAAAGATTTGGAGGAGCGTGGAATAGAGATAGCTGCATCTTATTCTTAGTTAATCAATACTATTGTGCATGAGATTCTACATTGTCAATTGATTGGAGGAAGAACGGCTTTTTTTATTTTAAATGAATTGACGCCCTTGGTAGAAAGTCTACAACTTTCGAATAGAAAAGAGTACCTATAACTTAATGCGGATTTTATTAAAAACAGCTTTTCAAGCACTTAAAAGTCATGCGCGGTGCGGAACTATTGGACACTCGAGAAACTAAATATACATGTCAACAAGAAAAGCCAGTACATTAAAATCGTAAAGTTTTCTTTCGGCATAAGGACTCTAGATGTGCCAAAAATTTCATACGGTGCTCACTTTAGTGCCAAAAGTTTTCGCCGACTCACTTAAGTGTCAAATTGGGAAAAAAAAAGATTACTTAACTTCCTCCGGCAAGAAATTTTACCAAAAGTTTTACGTGGCTTTTTTAGTAAAGAGTTAAATATGAGTTGGCATTTTTATATTAAAAACGAGTCCACGTGGACATCCTGAACGACGTCACATGTAACGACGTGGCTGGCTTGCCTAAAAACAATGTTGTTTTTATAGATTAAGCTGAAACTGCCACGAAATTGAGAGAGAAGGGGCGATGAACCTCTTAATAGATCAAACGAGATCGAGAGAAACAGGGTTGCGCAGCCTGTCGAGGAAATCATAGAACTCCATCGAGGTTGAAGACGCTAGCAAAAATGATGATGGAGACGGCAAAGTCGTCTCCATGTTTCAACTTCATTGCTTTGAAGCTAGAAAAAAGAAAAGAAAAGAAAAAACAACACCAAGGTTTCCAAAATTATTACTTCAGAAGTGAGAGTCATGCAAAAAGCACGAGCGCCGATCGCTCTTTCTCTCCGCCTCCACTATCAAAGTCCCCACTCACGATTAGGGAAAATGACCTAACTTGGGATAATGACATAAATAGTCCCTGAACTATGACTTAATGTACAATGTGATTCTTGAACTTTTAATTTGTTCAATGTAGTCTCTGAACTTTATCCTGATGTTCAATGTGGTCCCCAAACTTTTAATTTGTTCAATGTGATCCTTGGACTTTTAGTACATGTTCAATTTAGTCATTGAACTATATGAAAAAGTTCAATGTAGTCCCTGAACTTGAATTAATTGAAAGACTATATTGAACATTTGAACATTTTCATATAGTTTAGGGACTAAATTGAATATATACCAAAAGTTTAAGGACGATATTGAACAAATTAAAAGTTCAAGAATCACATTGCACATTGGGTTGAAGTTTAGGGACGAGATTGAACAAATTAAAAGTTCAGGGACCACATTACACATTGAGCTGAAGTTCAAAGACTCTTTGTATCATTTTCCCTAACTTGTAGTTTGAAAATAGAGGCATGTTTTTTGTCACGGGTTGAAAACTTAGCATATTTTTTGTATTATTGCTAATTAAATTTTAGTGTTTTGCAATAACAAAACTCCACACAATTAGAAAATTCGATTATAGTAGGTGAATTTAAATTGTCATTCCTAATTTTTTTCCATCTGGTGGCTAAAATCACAGTTTTCATCAACATGTCCTAGGGATGGATCAAATTACATGGAGGCAATAGGACACCTTATACTTGCTTTAAGAGACTATTTGTTTGAAGTTCTATAAAGGGATAATGACACAAACAGTCCATGAACTTTAGTCCAATATGCAATTTGATCCCTGAACTTTTAATTTGTTCAATATAGTCCTTGAACTTTAGCCTAATATTCAATTTGGTCCTTGAACTTTTAATTTGTTCAATGTGATCACTGGACTTTTAGTACATGTTCAATTTAGTCCTTGAACTATATGAAAATATTCAATGTAGTCCTTGAACTTGAATTAATGGAAGGACTATATTGAACATTTTCATATAGTTCAGGGACTAAATTGAACATATACTAAAAGTCCAGGGACCACATTGAACATATTAAAAGTTCATGGACCAAATTGAATAGTAGGCTAAAGTTTAGAGACTACGTTGAACAAATTAAAAGTTCATGAACCAAATTACACATTAGGTCAAAGTTCAGGGACTGTTTATGTCATTTTCCCTTCTATAAAAAGCAAAAAGTACTTGTTTTACTTTCCTATGAATTAATATACTATTCAAATTTCAAAACAAAATTATGAAGAAATTGTACGTGGAATGTACTTGTCAGCATTTATATTTTGTGAAAATTTCAAATATTTTAGATTTCAAAAAAGTTAGATACATGCGAGCCATAAGATTATAAGTAAATAAAAGGAATAAGTATACTAGAAGTTTTAAAACTTGTTATGAAAGTATAATTTAGTCATAAATCTTTCAAAAAGTACAATTAAGTCATAAAACTTATCATAAAAGTGCGATTGAGTTTTAAAACTTTCAAAATGTACAGTCAAATCTTAAAACTTATCATAAAAGTGTAGTCAAGTTTTAAAACATTCAAAAGTACTGTAAAATCCTAAATTTGTCATGAAAGTGCAATCGAAAGAACTTGATTGGATCAATTTTATAAATTTTAGGACTTGAATACATTTTTTGAAAGTTTTAGGACTCAAGCACACTTTCCTAACAAATTTTATGGCTTAGTTACTCTTTTTGAAAGTTTTAGAATGATGTTGCACTTTCGTGATAAATTTTAAGACTTTCAATATATTTATCTCTAAATAAAAAGTAAGAATACACACTTTTTACTTTCTAGAAGCTTTTCGGCTTAGGATTCCCCCGGGTTAGTCGGAGATGATTAGGTACATTCCTTATGCTTCCACGGGAAGCCAAAGACTTCGTACTAACAAGAACCTCCCACCAAATCCGTTGGCCCGTCGCTTTCCAACTTTGCAACCCCTTTAAATATTTCACGGTATTATTGACTCCTCTCGCTTCGAGACACAGCAGCAGATCACCCCAAGCGTGTAAGAGTGATTAAAGTTTTGTGGGGAATAATTTAAAATTTTTTTGATAAATGTTATAATATGAAGAACCTGGGAAAATCATCTAAAAATTCCTAAACCTACTTTACTTTTCGCTAATTCAGTCATAAACATTTTAATTTTGCGAATTGAGTCGTAATCTTTTCGCATTTTGCCAATTGAGTATATCCGGATAATTTTAGCCGAAAATCGTTGGCAACATGGCACTACCGATGTCCATGTCAGCGATTTCCGGTTGAAATTAGCCAAATGAACTCAATCGGCAAAATGTGAAAAGTTTTAGGACTCAATTAGCAAAATTAAAATATTTGACTCAATTGGTCAAAGTGCAATATGTTTAGAACTTTTTGGATAATTTTCCCTAAAGAATCTGGCAAATAGGAATTAGAATTGTATATATCAACCACGAACTAGGTATATAAGACGAGGCAAAATATCAAATATACAAAGAAAATGTGAATATAACGCTATGCGGTACGCTTAATATCTCATATCTCAAGACAAGTAATCATGCTTCAATCCCAATTTACTTATTTGACGGGCTAGATGATGATACAGTATTTTACTGCTAGCATGAATTATAATAGTAACTTTAAAACGTTAATGTGAATTGTCGGTCTTACCACTATGTTTAGACTGGAAATACAACGATGCTAGCTTGATTTATTATTTAACATGGCAATTTGGAACTTCTCATAATGACGTGATCATGTGAAGGATTGCGAGCATGCGCTTGGCTACTCGACACAATTCTCCCATATTAACTTCAGCAAAAAAAAAAAAAAAGAATGTTGCACAGTTTATAAGATGTTTGACAAACACCTCACAGCTGAAGTAGCTCGTAATAATTTTTAGGAAGCTATTCCATCCAACTTTTAAGGCATTGTCACTCGAAACATATGTTACTAAATACATAAGTTATAACACCTTACAACACAACTAAGGTACATAAAAGTTACTGTTCAATGTTCTGTCACAGTTATATCGATCTATGCAAACGAGGGAGAAGCGGAGAAGCAACGCCACGGGTGTTGTTCCATCCCATCACGATCCATACCTTTAATCCTCTACCAACTTTGATGCACGGAGGAGGGGCCACATGACTGGGAATCGCAACAAACTTTTCATGTCATTTTGAAAGTGAATCATGTACCATCTTCTTTAATGTTGTGATACCTTCTCCGTATGAAGTGTTGGCGTGCACTCATATAAGCTTGGTTGACCACATCACATAGTCTCATCCTAGTGTATCCCAAGCACGCAGGTTTCAAACCAAGCTTTTCCTCAACAGACCTGTTACGCTTTCTCCCATGGCTACTTTGTAATCAACCTAAAACATATGCTTATAATGACGGTGAGGTAGAGTTGACGCGACTCGTACTTACCGTTTTCACCGCGTCAATTATCACTATGCTTTGATTGCACTAAATTGGCAACCCTTCGATCCTAGCTTGCCCGTAATAATGCAGCT